CGGATGCGCCTTCGTCGTCTTTGCAGCGCCTGCCGCCTGCCTTGATCTCTCTCAGCGGCGCCGCACTCGGATTGGAAGCGGGCGCAGCCGCACCCGTCACGTCGTCGAGTTCGGCGCCCGTGTCTGGAACGAGCGCGCCTGCGGTACCCTCAACTTCGTCACCGATGCCAGGCTTCCGCCCCATCTCGGCGCAAAGCTCTTCGGCAGCCTCCCAGTCGAGTTCCGCGTTCATCCGTCCAGCAGCATCCGCCTTCCCGAAGCCGCGATTGCTCAGCACCTCGCCCGCAACAGGCTTCGGCCGAGCGCCTCTGCCCCCGGCCTCGACTGCGAGACCGACATCAGTGTCTCCCGCTCTCGTGGGGCATGCCCCGCTGTACGCCGGATCGGGCTCGCGTCCGTCGCCGCCTGTCAGGCCTGCTGAACTCGATCCATCAATTCCTACTGCACCGAAAGCGATGCAGGCAGGCCTCACGACGCCTGCGCATCCCAGCCGATCCGGTGCGCCCGCGACACCCGGAACAACAGCGTCGGCGGCTGGCACGCCGAGCAGGTCCGGATGGCCTGGCTCGACGCCTGCCGGGCGAGGTCGCGGGGGCTTCCACGGTGCGTTAGCACGCCGACTTCAGCTCTGCACGTCTCAAGCGAGAACTCCGCTGACCCGGCAACTCTGTTGGCAGGACCGCGCAATCCGAATATGCAACTAAGTGGCGGACATGGGACGCCTCGCGGTCGCGGCGGTGGAGGCTGGGGCTGGCGTGGTCGAGGCGGTGGGCGCGGCGGGAGTGCAGGACGAGGCGGAGGTGCTGTCTGAGCGAATCGCTGTGTTGTAGCTTGTTTCCCTCTACGTAACGATCTCGTCTAGCCTTCTCGCTTAACGAACCTTACAAGCTACAAGGAGGAGAGCGCTAACACCAGGCTACAGTAACGATCAATGGGCATGATAAAGCAAAGCTAGTGAGGAGGGTGAGATGTCGGATTAGAAGCCGCGCTGAGGAGCAACGCCGATGCGGTTCTGCTTGAAGTCCTGTTTACACGAGTAAAAGCGATTCAGTACAGTTAGTATGACGAGCTCGTCGTTCGACGCACCAGAATGAAGTAGTTCGACTGGTGCAGGAAGAAAAGACATATCAGCTGTGCTGCCCAGCCAAAGTACATTTGTTCGGCGAGCTCACCTTGAAAAAGACGTCGCCAACGATGAATGCGTTACCGACGCCGAGGTTCTGGCCGAGGAGCGCGCCAATACAGCGACTGGAGTTTCCCGGAAGCGTGCCCAGGTTGAAGTCTGCACGCTTGAATGGCGTCAATACGGGCTAGTGCATGCAGTAAACGTGCACTGTACTCGCCTTGTGCTGCGATGGGGTAGACTTTTGTCGCCGCGCGCGTGAAGGCAAGACCGACAGCCGGCGGAGAGGCGCAATCCTGCGTTCCGAAGCCGGATCAGCATGCAGGCGTGCCATAGCTTGCGAGACTACGCACGTAGCTCCAGTAGGTCGAGTTGATGGCTTGCGCGCTTGGGACATATGACCAGAATTCGGCGGCATAGGCCGGAGGAGCCTGACGGAGAAGCGACGTCAGCTTCAGGCAATCGCTGAGTGACCAGGAGTTGCGACGCACGATGATGGTGGGCGTTGTAGAGTCGAAGATCATCGGGACGCGGTCGTAAAGAGCCGGCTGTCCGCTCAGAGTCGGTACGCCTGCAAGTCGACGACAGCGTCAGCGGGCGAGTGCGCCTGACAGGGTATCATGCGCACCTTGCGAGATCTGGATGTAGTCTAGGAACTGCGAGTTGGGCGAGTAACCCACGGCGTAGTAGTCCGGAGAGCCAGCAAGCCTTGCGCGATTGTAACCACCCACAACGAGCTCGCTCTTGCCGGGCAGACGGGAAAGCGAGAGCCCGAAGACGGGTTGAGCGCCTTGGTGGTATGCGGTGAAGGGGAAAGAGTACGAGTAGGCGGCTGAGAGGGCGCGATAGGCCAAGCCCATCCTGTTCGTGGGAAGGTCAAGTCAGCTTCCGGGCGCAGCGCGACACCAACACGATCTTGGACGTACACTCTGCAGGCATAAAAGATCAGTAGCTGTCATTGGAGGGAAGCGAGCAAGCTAATGGGACTCACCCATCGGTTATCCTTCCCCCAATCGCGCTCGGCAAGCTGTCCATCGCAACGACATCCTGTTGGGTCACCGTCAATCCAGCAGCGGTGACCGTGTCTTGAAGGAGGGTTCTGTTGTGCTATATCAGCCCTATCCTTGACGCCGGCAGCGATGAACCTGAGCGCACCCAGTTGCCTGCGAACCGTCAGTGAAGTAGGTGTAGACGGTTTTGTTCGTCGACTTGGCCGTTGCATCGGCGGATGGGCGATAATCGAGACGCTTTTTGCCGCGGCAGGTCAGAGAGTTGCATATATATGAGGGAACGAGAAGGTCGGAGGACGAGGTATCGAAGAAGAGGCGGAAGGACTGCGGCGGAGTACCAATCTGCACGGTACCGTACCAGACTGCGAAAGGGATCGAGATCAGCGCCGGACGTAAGGTAAAGGGGAGCGAGACGAACGTGGAGTGGCGCCGCCGTAGTACGTGAGCGCCTCCTGGCCGCGCTTCGCGAGCATCGCCGTCCCATTCGCAGCGAGAGCCTTGTTCTGGCTTATGATGGCGGCGTTCTACAGAGAAGAGCGTCAGCTCATAGCAGGTCTAGCCTGAGAAGCGTCTCGTACCTGCGCATACTTGCTGCATCGTCGAAAGGAAGGTGTTAGCTCCTCAGCGCCAACAATGGAGTTCGCCAGCTCACCTCATCGCGCCTTGCCTGTAGCTCTCGAGAACGTCGAACGCAATGGAGCCGTCGGCGGATTGCAGACCGTCGTCTCGCCTGCGTCGCAAGCAAGTGTCAGTTTGCCGAAGCAGCCCGTCAGACTGGAAGAGGACACACCGCTCGAGAGCCAGCGAGAGCGGGCGTTCGCGTCCACGAGCGCGGAGCGAGTCTCCGCCAGCGACGACGGACTGGACGGCGAAGAGGGCGAGAAGGAGCACAGCGGCGGCGGTTCGCATGCTGCAAGGACTGTCGAAGGAGTGACTGTAAAGAGCGTGTAGGGGTCTGACCAGAAGATACAAGGAGAAGAGCGAGAAGTCGCCGTGAACAAGTGAACGAGCGGGACAAGGGGAGCCAGACGGAGAAGCGAGGCGGTCGCTTGTCTCTCGGCGAACGGAACAGCGGCCAATGTGATCGAACCCTCAGCGTCCGGGTGCGCAGCCGCAGACTCAGCGCGTGCGATCGCTCTGCTGTGGAAGTCCGGAGACTTGCCCCGAGGCAACAGGACATCGCCCGAATCCCGGGCTAAGCAGGCATGGTAGCGGGACGAACAATGCAGGCAGGAGATAGCCGCGCGAGTTGGCGCGAGGGTGCTTCGAAACAAGCACGCGAGAAGGGAGATCAGCCAGCTCAAAGTGCGCACTGATGAAAAGAGATGAAGTGGGCAGCGTCGCCCTGGCGCAGCGTCGACGCCTTCTGCAAGCGGTGAAGGCGACAACAAGGTTGGCGAGTGCCTCGCGAGGGAGCCGTCGCTGCCAGGCTGGCGGGAAGAGGGCGGAGGGGAAGACAGGTCCCAACTTGCCCAACTTGGCGAAATGCTCGAGGGCTCGCTTTCAACTCCTTCCGCGAAGACCATCTTGCAGGCAATAAGCAGACGAGCTACGGTACACAGCACTGGCATTTACAGTACGCTGGAAGGCGAACCTGAAGCTGCGCAGAAGGAAAGGACAGGCTAGTCGCCGGCAGTGGTTCCCTCCTCCCTCCTACGCACACGAAAGCCGTCGTGAGCATGCTTGAGCATCTGGAAGCCTTGCCGCTGACAGTGGTCGAGGAAGGGTTGGCCGCCGTGAAGCGTGTGTGAAGATGCGGCAAAGACGAGGTCGGCTGGGAGAGCTGGCGTTGCGCCCGTTCCTTCGGTCAAACGCTCGTGAAGCTCGTCTCGCGGATGAAACGGTCGACAGGCGGCCTGCGGCGAAGGACTGTCTTCACGGGCGAGGAAGACGTGAGGGCGAGCGTTACCGCCTTGTTGGGTCTGCACAGTCGCTAGCCGTGAAGGCGAAGATGGCTGAGCCTCGCCGCTGACACGCGTGATGGTGGAAGCACGTGGGCCAGCGCCAGCAGCTGAAGGCGGATGAAGCAGGTACAGCTCGACGGCGATGTCGGAGTCCATGGTCGACGTGCGGCTGTGCCCGGATCGGGCGCTGGCACGCGAGAGAGGCGAGTCTTCAGGGATCGCACTCAAGGCTTGAAGGGTATCGAAGGAGCGGAACGTCGACCTGCGAGTAGGCGTGACAGGTGGTGCAGCGTTGCTGGGTCCTGCGGGGGTCGCAGGAACAATATGCATGAGCGGTGGGCTCGAAGCTGTGTACGTTACTGCGTTTCTTGGCGAGTTCTGAGCGGTCAGCAGCGAAGCTTCGCCGCGATGCGAGGCAAGGATCGCTCTTTTGTCGTCGAGGTCGCGTTGGTCGAGGACGGAGAAGCGGTAAGGCGCGGCGTTGACCATCGTGCCGGCTCCGAGACACGCTTTTATCCACTGCTCGTCGTGCACTTCAAAGCCGAGGACCCTGAGCCTGTTTGCGGCGCGAGACGTCCTCATCAGTTTGAGGCGAGGGAGCCGAACGATGGTGGGCACACCTGTCGACCAGCTCGTCCGTCTGCCCGTGTGCGCCGATCCAGTAGTCGATAGCAGGCTCAGGATCGTCTTCGCGGACCATCTCGTGCTTGGCGAGCTGACCACCGCGCTCCGTCCAGGTGAGGCGAGTCTCGAGGGACACCGTCGGCGCTAGGAAGGCTGTAAGCGAGGCGAACATGCTGGCAGACGGTTCTGAGTGTGTGTAGCAGCAGTCAAGGCCCTCGACTAGCAGGCTGAGCGAACGAAGGGGAGCGGGCGACTTCGAGGAGGGCAAGAGCGACAGGAGCGTCGAGTACGCCTCCGCCTCGCACAGCTCCTGACCGTAGACGCTGGAGAGTGTCCTGCTTGTTCACTGCATCCCCCGGCGGACTCGTAGCTCCCGACAACCCGCCCATCGTGCTCGCACCTCCCCGCCGCTCGCTCCCCACATCCACCGTCTCTTCTTCCCTTTCTCTCCCTCGCAACTCGCTCGTAGATCCACAGCAGCAGTAGAATGGTGACAGTGCTCATCCTGGGAGGCTTGGGTGAGTCCAGCGAGGCGCTGTCATGCTCTCTGACCTGACCTTCTCCTCCTCAGCGAACGACAACGCTCGTCACCTCCTGCCCTACCTCGTCTCTCTTCCGCCGACCGAACGTCCTGCCATTATTCGCGTGGTCGACAAGCCTCTGGTGATCCCCGCCGCGAACGCGTACACGGCTTACGTCGACACGGCCTGTCGGGAGGCGTTCAAGAAGGGCACGCAGGAGGGAATAGTGGAATATGTCCAGGGAACCCTATTGACGGAAGGTGGGTGCTCTCTTGGAACTGGCCGATGCTCGAGACTGTGGCAGCCGGGCAGTACTCGAGCTCACGCTCTCGCTTCTTCGTCGCAGCCATGAGAACAAAGGCCTTCACGCTTCCCGACAAGCACGGCGGCGGCGGGAAGAGCTTCGACTGGGTCTTTGACTTCACGGGGGAAATCTCGTTCGAAGCGCCTGAGGCGGTGCGTGGCGAGCGCTCGATTACTCGAGACTGCTCCCGCTAAACTGTCGCGCTTCTCAGGTCCATGTTGAGCGGACGCTCCAGCTCGCGCTGCTGCTGGGTGCCGCGGCCGTCAAGCACAAGGTTGGCGCCTACGTTCGTGGCATACCCTGCTTCTACCGCCTGCGGGACGACAGGACGGGCAAGGTCGGCGACGAGGGAACAGTGTCCGAGCCTTGGGGAACCATGGCGAGTTGGCATCACGAAGCGGCGCGGGGGCTAGCGAAACTGGAAGGGTGCGTGGAGCCTCTCATTGCCTCGCGACTGCTTGCTGACGTTTTCTGATCGCCAGGCTCAACCTCGTTCTTGTGCGACGAGCGGTCATGTACGGGCCGTTCACCGTGACCGGGCTCACTCCAAGAGTACTGTACGTACTCTCCTTTTGCATCGCCTGCTCACTCCAGTGATGCTGAACGTGCGGAGATGCGCGCAGTATTGGCGAAGTCTACAAGTTCGAGGGCGATAAGCTCGAGTTCCTGTGCGTCCGCAGCCTCTCTCTACCTCATACCGGCTGACTTGCCGTGAATTCCGCAGCTGGGCAGACTCGCTCGCTCAAAGCACGATCCATGCCGCCGACTATGCTGCGGCACTCGTCAAGTCTGCCTCCTGGGCGCAATCCCTCGGCTCGCGCTCCGCCATCCTCGCTGCCCATACCGAAGACCTTCCCTCGACCCTCTCCTCTGACGCACCGATCTCGTCTCTCCTCTCCCACTCGCCTCCTCCAGCGAAGAAGGTCGATGAAGTCTCGGCTGCGGTCTTTTGCGCTGTCGATGACTGTGAGACGACGCAGAAAGAGATTGCAAGCATCATCCAAGAGGTGGTCGGTGTCAAGAGCGGTTTCCACGGCAGCGTGATCTCCGGTTTCGCCAAGCTGAACCTGGGCGACGTTGTCGAGGACGCGAACGACAAGGTGAGCAACTCCTCCTTCCACAATCTGCCTCTCTACTGACTCTTTGTTCTGCGTCTTCGACAGCACCTCGAAGGGTGGTCCGCCCTGCTTCAAGCGTCCGACCCGCCCATCTCGACTACGATCCCCATCTCCCCGTCCGTCCCCGCCGACGTTCTCGCACCCCACCCTATCGCCTTCAGCAACGCCGCGCTCAAGAAGCACACGGGCTGGGCGCCCAAGTATCGGCTGAACAAGGAGATTGTGCGGGAAACGGTCGAGGGCTTCAAGCGCGAAGGCAATTGGCCCAACGCAAAGCCGCGGTCCGTCTCGCAGCCTCCTCTACCTGTCTACTAGCTCGTACTGATTCTCTCGATACCGTCACGCAACAGGAAGAAATGAGCGGCGAGCAAGCGGAGTTGAGTCGGAGGTTGAGAAGGTTGGGTAAAGGAGAAGCAAGGTTGATTCGTCTTCGCATGGGTCGCTCTGCATGTTTATCGCAACGTTCGCGTCTATCTCGAATCCACTTTGGAGAGGCCAGGCGGCGTTCGTCTCGCTGGGGAGGTCGCTTCCAGCCTGCACGTGACCGATTTGACATCCCCTTCCTCCTCCGCCGCTCGATGACGCTTCCCCTTCTCCTCCTCGCCCGCTCTCCGCTGCTCAGCTCTCCAAGCATGGCACAGCGCAAGCTAGGCGGATCTGGTGCACCGCACGACTCGTTCGACGACGCCGTCGAACACCCTCACCCTCGCTCCGCCTCCTCATCGAGTGCGAGGCGATCCGCCGATCAAGCGGCCGCAGACGACCTTGCCGACTCGCGCGGTGCCAACGAGCGCACTGCACTGCTGGGGTCGACCACTTCGCGCGACTATGCGACCGAGGCGAGGCGTGACCGCCGTGCACTCGCCGAGGCAGGCCACCCAGACGCTGAGGGCAGGAGACGTCCGTGGAGTCTCAGGATCGACTTTGCCGTCGCCCTCCTCCTCCTGATTGCCAATGGCTACTTCTGGACGATGAGCATGGCGGGCGTGAGGGGGCAGTTCGTCGCCAACACCGCGCTGCCCAAGCATGCGGGTAGCATGGGCCTGCCCGTCCTGATCTCGTTCCTTGCTTGCGCTACCAATACGTGCGTCCTGACTGCTCCCTCACGAGCGATCGGCAGCTCCGCTGACCAGATCTCTCCCTCAGCGCCTCGCTTCTCGCCTTCGCGGTCCCGCACGAGTCGCCCATGCTCGCATTCTACACCTCGATCCTCACCGCCATCTTCGCCCTTACGACTCTCATCATCTCTGTATCCGTCACCCAACTTCGCGTCGTCGAGGGTCCCCTCACCTTTATCGTCCTGTCCCTCGCGATCGTCTCAGCCCTTCACGCCGCTCTCTCTGCCGCTCTGACCGACCGCTACGCGCCCATTCTTGACCCGCCCGAGGAACTCGACCCCGACTACGAGCCCGACACGGGCTGCTGGTCGAGTACGAAGCACGGTCTGAGGTCCTGCCTTGGCTTCCTCGGCATCTCACTCCCCATCGCCGCCGCACACATCGCCATCCTCGTCGGTTTCATCCTCATCATGATCAACGCCATCGTCCGTTCAGTCGATGCGAGCGTCGAGCAGCCCGGACAGCGATGGAAGGTTCAGCCGTGGCTGTGGCAGAGGCGCAACTTCCCGTACGTCAACTCCAATCTCGCCCTCGCTGACCGGACAACTCTGACATGTCCATCTTCTCACAGCGAGCTCGGCCATGGGTTCTTCCAGCCGAAAGGCCGCGAGTACCGCGTCCACCTTTCTTGCCGAGGCATCGGTCTCGACGACCCGCCTCAGCTCATCGCTTCGCCCAGCAACACCAGCTCGGCGTTCCAGCGCCCGACTGTCCGCCGCACCGTTCTGGTTGAGTCGGACCGCGGTATCCCCGGCGCTCTCGACGCCGAGTGGGTCCTCAAGATGCTCCGCGAGGGCGACCTCAACTCGGGCGACATCGAGGTTCGGGTTTGCTTCTGGGACAGGCCCGGCTACGGGTTCTCGGACGCGTCAAGCACGAGCTCTGCGCCGCACATCGCCAGCGCGCTCACCCAGGTCCTCAGCGTTTCGGGCGAGCTGGCCAGGCTCGAGCCGCCGCCTTCACTCGAGGGAACGAACGATGCTGCGACGGCCGGACCTCCTTCGCCCCTCGCCCGTTCCGGCTTGATCCTCGTGTCGCGCGGCGAGTCAACCGCACTCACCTCGCTCTTCGCCTCGATCCACCCTCGCATCGTCCACTCGTTCCTGTACATCACGCCCGTCTCGCCCTCGACGCACTACCTGTCGCCCGCTCGTTCGCGCTTCCGCGCCGTTCCGGCCTTCTTCACGCGGACCATTCCCGCGTTGTGGACAGAGCTCGGCATCAAGCGGACATGGTGGGCGATCCGAGGCGTTCCTCGTCGTCGCCGGGTTCTTGCCCGCGAAGGCGAGCGCGTGAATGGACTGATTGAGCGCGCCGGGCTGCAAGAGGCGCACGAGCTCGACCTCGGGCGGGAGGCAGACGGTGCCAAGGCGTGGGAGAGGAGGAGGGGAAGGTATCCGACACGCCCGACTGTCGTCCTCGGCAAGAGCTCGGTCGGTGACGGCGGCAGGAAGTTTGTCGACGACGTCGTTGGCGAGGGGCTGCGCGAGTGGGACAGGGAGTGGAAGGGCGGCAAGAGCGGGTGCGGGTCGGGAGGCGAAGCGGAGCAGAAGTGCAGGGACGCCGTGAGGTCGCTTCTGAGCCTTGACTGAGCTCGCTTGCTGCTGTTGTGCGCTCGCTTGATGACCTGTAGCTTTCTTTCTTGATCTAATCCTATCTTGCGATCTCGTCCCCCTGTGTCGCGCCCGCCTCCCGAGATGAATGACGCCCCTCTCCTCTCGTTGGCAAACACAACCTCCCGCTGTCTGTCTGTAGAAGCGTGCTCGCTTGGACCCTTGCTGTACAACAGACTCACTCGCACTCGCACGCCGGGCACGATGGGCCTCTCACGCGGCGTGGCAGGCCTTTCGTCTGCTCTCCTTCGCACCGTCGTCTACATCTTCCTGCGGTGGATTCCCGGTCGGTTCGGGTGCGTGGCGGCTTCTCCCTCTGGCGCTGCTTCGAGCTGACAGCTGCTCTGGCTCGCGCAGGCCCTACTTGATTCCCGCCTTCTTCGCCCTCTACTCTTGGTACACCTACTTCATCACCCGCGCGATCCCTCGCCGTCCTTCTACGCCAGCCGAAGCGGCGCTCGTACCGAAGGAGGAAGCACCGTCGTTCGCCGAGGTCGTCGCCGGAGGAAAGCCGGACGAGGAGGACAATGTCGTTCATGAGCAACATCCGCATGTCAAGCCCGATCCCGACGTGCCAGCTGGTGCAAGCCTTGCGACGGGAACGAGCGGCGGATCCCTCTCGAAGCGCCAGAAGAAGAACCGCAAGAGGGCCCTCAACGACCCCTTGTCGCTCCTCCCGTCCGCGTCCGACTCTGAACCCGGCAGCCCGACTTCGCCGCACCTCAACCGCCGTCAGAGGCTCCCTCGCAACCGTCCTCTGCCCAAGACGAGTCTCGGCCAGCTCGTCAACAACCTCGTCTTTGGCACCCCGACCACGACCTCGCGCTTCCTGAACATTGTCTCCTGGTCTGCGAATGCCCTGCTCTTCGCCCTCGCAACCGACTTCATCTGGACACCTATCTTCGGCATGGACCACACGGATCTCGCCTTCGTCCGCGTCGGCGCCGTCTCGCACACCTCGGTCAAGCTCGTCGCTCGCATCCCGCCTTCGTCTTCGCTCCTCGTCCAGCCGCCCATCGTGGCGGGTGTGGTACCCGCAAATAACTCGGAGCCGGCGATTGAGGGCTTCTTGCCGGAGGACGAGTTCGTTGGCGCGAAGGTCGTCTACAGGCCGACCAAGCCGCTCGGCAAGTGGATCCAGGGACCCGAGATTCGCACGAAGGAGGTGGACGACTGGGTCTCGACGGTCAAGGTCGACGGCTTGTGGGCATCGACCGAGTACGAATGTGGGTGCAGCTCGGCGTCGCTCTTCCCCTTCTCCGGCAAGGCGTTGCCTCTCTGACACTCGCTCGTTCCGCAGACCGCCTCCTCCGCCCGTCTCTTGAGACTTCGCACCACCCGGCCTTCCCGCACTCGCAGCACTTCACAACGTTCTCCGACCCCGCTCTGTCCGCCGCAGGCCCATCGAGCGAGGGAACGCATTACGTTTTCGCTTCCTCGTCCTGCATCAAGCCCGGCTTTCCCTACACCGGTCCGCACCACAAGCTCGAGACGAAGGGAGCAAAGGAGTTCCTCAAGATCGCCGAGCGTGTCGGCGTCAAGTTCATGCTCTTCCTCGGCGACATCATCTACAGCGACGTGCCGTGGTACGCTGGCAAGAGCGTCGAGCGGTACTTCAAGCACTACCGCCAGCTGTTCTCGTCGCCCGAAGTCAAGGCCATGGTCGAGAAGATCCGTAAGTCGTCGCACCCGCCCTTTTCGCTTTCGAGCCTTGCTGACGTCGTTCTGACCCTGCTACAGCTTTGATCAGCATTTGGGACGACCACGAGATCCACAATGTGCGTACTACCGACTTCGCGCCAAAGAGGAGACTGACCGTTACTGCTAACCGCAGGACTACGACTCGAACGTCACCTCGCCAGCTTACGCGCCGGCCAAGCGCGCCTTCGAGAACTACATCGCCAACGCCAATCACGACCCGCTAGCCAAGGACGACATTCACTTCGACTTCCGGTGCGTACTGTTCCTCTTCCTCCACCTCGTGAGTTGGCGCTGAGCACGCCTCTCGCGCAGAGTCGGCGATTCGGCCTTCTTCGTCTGGGACACTCGTACGTACAGGAGCGATAACGCCAAGGAGGATGACGAGTCCAAGACGATGCTTGGCGAGCGGCAGAAGGAGGAGTTCTTCAACTGGGTCGCGCGGGTGCGTCCGAGTGGGAATCCGCTCTGACCGTATCCGAAGAACTCGCTGACACCCGTCGTCGCCATAACAGGTCAATCAGACGGTCACCTGGAAGTTCGTCGTCTCCTCCGTCCCGCTCATGTCGCTTTGGGGTACGCCTTGTGCTCCTTCCATTCTGCAAACTCGCGATCTAACGCTCTCGTGTGCAGGTCACGGCGAGGATACCTGGGCAGCCTTCCTCACCGAGCGCGACGCGATCCTCGACGTCCTCGAGCACGTCCCGAACGTCATCGTCTTGTCGGGAGACAGGCACGAGTTCGCCGCCGCCAGCTTGCGCAACACGGTCACCGAGTTCTCGACGTCGCCGATGAACATGTTCTACCTGCCGATCCGCACGCTGTCGCAAAAGCACGGCCGCGGGCCTACCGGCGAAGATGCCCTGCTGAAGTGTGAGTTGCTGTACAAGAGCGACTTTTCCGCCTCCCATTCCGCCAATCGCCACAATGGCTGCCTTGTGCGATAGTTCGCTGACGGATCTCTCCCCTCACATCCAGACCTTCCCGACGGCAATACCAAGTTCACGACTTTCGAGGTGGACACGCGCACGGCCAACAAGCCCGTCGTCCGCGTCAAGGTGTACATCGACGGTGACGAGGCGTGGAGCGTCGACGTCCTTGGTCAGCCTTTGCCGCGTGCACTCGGTCGACGGGGCGCAGACGCGGTCGAGGGAGCTGTCGGAAGCTTGGGCAAGGGCTTGAGGGAGCTTGTCGAGTGGAGTCGCGCGTGGGTGAGGAGGAGCTGGTTCTCGTAGCCGGAGGAGGCGCTCGGGCGTTCTCTGAGAAGCCGGCAGGAAAAGGAGCAGATGTAGCTAGAATCAAAGTGCCAGTAATGCGCTACCTTGCCTGCACGACTTTCTCGTCGGCAATATCGACTGTCGCGTCTCGAAGGCGAGGCAATCGAAGGCGCTATCCGTCCGTTCTCTCGTACTGGTACTGGCGAGCAGAACGATAGAATGGTATTGTGCAAAGGGCTCGACCAGCGAGCCCTTGTCGAGGCTTTTTTAAGGACCTTCCGCCGCCTCCTTTCCATCACGTCCTCACATCGCGACCTGCGCTCCCGGAAGAAGAGAGTGATGTCGGGCGCAATCAACTGCATAGCGCTAACGCGAATGCGTCGTGCGGCGGCTGAGCGGAACAAGGTTGCCATGCTCGTCAAGCGTGGCGTTGGAACCGAGTATTGGGTACATCGCCTCGGTAGGGTCCTGCTAGGTTTGTCGCGGCAACGCAAGTCGATCAGTGTACGCTCGACGTCGGCTGGAACGGTTGACGCACATAACCTTGATTGGCGTATAAGTGGCTGTCCTCCGGGTAGACGGCGAGATATTGCGAGGAATGCGGTTGGTGACTCGTCGGGTGTGTGAAGGGGTGACGGCTTGGAGGGAAAGGATCGGAGGAAGCCTCGGGAGCTGGATGGCGAGGCTGGAACGGCTCGTTGAAGTTCTTGAGATGCTCAGGCAGCTTGTCGAAGCCAATCGACGAATGACTCCCCTGGCGGTCAAAGACGTGTGCTTGGTACTCCCACCATCGCTGTGACACCGATCTCCTGCCCGGAGCGAACGGATCATGCGCGCTGGCGAGGTGGTGAGGAGGGCCATGCTGCGGCTGTGTTGGCGTTTGTAGCGTCAGCAACGTCCTCGTCAAAGACTGAAGGGTAGACAGCGGACGGCAGAAGGATGCGTTGGCACAGGCTGCCAAAGGCAACGTGAGCGATTGCTACGCGTAGGTCACCGAAAGCACCTACTCCAGTGACGTTCTTGCACATCACAACTTGCCAAGTCGGCTGCGACACGAACCATCAGTCGTTGCTGGGCGGCAATGAGACGAGATTACGTACCAGGACAAGCGCATGCTCCAGAGGCGTCGTCCAGATAACCTCGGCAATGCCTGCGAGATTACCCATACAGGCTACGAGCGGAAGCAGTTCGCCAACTTGGTGACAATAATGTAGGGTGCTCGGGTCGGGGAAGGAGCGCCGCCATTGCACGATCGCGTCTTGACGCCGTTCGCATGCGTCCTTGACTTCCTGCGCCTGCCTCGTCCGTATCATGTACCCTAGTGTATTTCTTGCCTGAATGTAGACAGTGTCGAGCCACATGCCGAAAGGTTCCCATCCGTCGAAAGCGGAGTTGTCGAGCTGATGTGCAGCAGGCAGGAGAGGCGGTCTCCCTGCGAGGGCGTAGTGGGCGGACGATGTTTGAGGCATCGGTTGTGAGTGAGAGGTAGAGAAGGAAGGACAGGGAAGGGAAGACGAACAGCTCCAGTAGCCACGAACCGGAAAATCCGCGGATGCGGCAGCAGAAAGAGCGAGCTCCTCCCGCCTGCTGGAGACCAATCTCTCACCTCCAGCCTCCCGTGACACTCTCAATCTCCGTGAATCAAGCGATCCGGCGATACACGGCCGGCGAGTGATGTCGGAAGCGTGTCGAGGGAAACGTAGGGCGAGCGGAACGGTGTTTTGAAGCGAGGCGACGCCCTGTGACTCCCAATCAGTCGCTAGATGGCAGATCACCTTCCGCCTCTTGTGTGCGAGCCTGAGTTGCCTTACGCACGGTGTGAGGCAGGGAGAGAAGCATCGAGCGGGAAGAGCGAGAAGAGCGAGCGCGCCGCGAAGGTCATGCGCGCAGCGTGCGAAGGTAGCAACAAAGCTGAGGGAGCTCGTCCAGCGCGCAAGCGAGACCCGCAGCCGCGCGCGATGTCGCCGCGAGTTCATCGACGAGAGAGAGGCGGAGAGGACGAGGGTTGGAAACCACGCCTCGCGAGCCACTCGTGGGAGGAGAAGTGCTACACGGCTTGGGACTCGCAGACAGCTACTCGCACTAGACCGGCAGCAGCGAAACGCCCCCGAGCGCCACTCTCCCCTCTCGACCTCGCCATCGCCCTCCTCGTCGCAGTCCCCTTGTCACGCCAGCAGGACTCTCGAACGCCCGCCAGTAAGGCCAGAGCGGCTTCTGGTGACCAGTGAACGGAGCATACCTTTTACCGCCCCGCGCCGCTTCCCCTCCTCTTCCCCCTCACCGTGAGTTGGCCTCTCCTCTCTCCCTTGGCTTTATCTGTCGCGACACGGGTCAGCCTGAGAGCAAATGAAGGCATGGGGAGTTGGGACATCGCGGTAGATTTGATGCGGGTGAAAGGCCGCTTGCAAGGTCGATCCCGCCCGCCCTCCTCCTCGACACCAGTGCTCCCCGACTTGCCAATTGCTGGTCTTCGACCACTGTCCCTTGAACCACACGTGCGCGCAACGCTGACTCTTTCTGTGAACGTCGTCACCGCAGAACGTCCTCAGAACTCTACCAGCATGCCGCCAAACCCTTCGGCGTACGCGGGCTACCAATACCATGCCATGTCCACGCTGGTGACGACGGCGGACAGGCCGCGGCATCGCGAGAATGAGCCTACTGGCGAGGCGGAGTCGCTCGTTGGGCGGATCAACCCGAAGGAGATGGGTGCGCGCGCTTTCAGGGAGGACCTGAACGTCGAGGAACGACGTAAGAAGGCGGACAAGGAGCGCGAGCGGCGGGAGAGGAAGGAGGTTGAGGGCGGCGCGCGAAAATCGGGACGAAGCACAGTCGCCGGCGGGATGCGCTACGGCGATGTGCTCGAGGCAACGCAGGACCGTGAGTTACGCGCGTTCACGTTTCTCTTACCTTCTAACGGAGACTGACGATCATGCGAACGCAGTCGAAGGACTCGACTACCGCCCTCGAACATCCGAGACTCGCGCCGTTTACGAGCTCATCCTCTCTCTGGTCCATACGCTTCTCGGCGATACGCCTCCCGCAATGGTTCGTTCGGCAGCCGACATGATCCTCGGATACCTCAAAGACGACTCGCTCAAGGACCTTGACAAGAAGCGCGAGGTCGAGTCGCTCCTCTCGATGTCCGTCCCGAACGAGAAGTTTGCCGAGTTGACGGCGCTCGGCAAGAAGATCACCGACTATGGCGACGAGGAGGACACGGGGAAGGGTGCTGCCGAGGACGAGGACGCCGACGCCGGCAAAATCGATGACGACGTCGGTGTCGCCGTTGTATTCGAGGAGGAGGAAGAGGACGAGGATCAGGAGGATGGCGAAGGTTTCGAGGTCCGAGACGAAGACACCGACGAGGACGAGGACGAACGCGTCGAGGGTCCTACGGGCACTGGAGGAGGCGTCGGCGACGATGAGATGGCTACGGGCGCTGACATGGACGGCGACGGCGATACCGTCCTTGTCGGTGGCGAAGGCGCTCCTTCAGCACGCGGCAAGAGGGGCGCGACCAAGGACGGTTCGGTTCCCGCTCGCGAGATTGACGGGTTCTGGCTTCAGCGCCTGTTCGCCTCGTCATACCCCGACCCGATCGAGGCTGCTCAGAAGACCGAGCAGGCGATGTCGCTTCTCTCGTCCGAGGGTAACACACGCGATGTCGAGAACAGCCTCATGGACCTCACCGACTACGACAAGTTCGAGCTCGTGTCGACTCTCGTCGCCAACCGCGAGAAGATTGTCTGGTGCACAAAGCTCGCAAGGTCCAACGATGACGAGAAGATGGATGTCGAAGTCGCCATGCGCGAAAAGGGCGTCGGATGGATCTTGAAGGAGCTGCGCGGCGAGACCAGCAAGTCGCGCGCGAACGGCGACGCGATGGATGTCGACGTCGCGACCAAGCCGGTGACAGTCGGTCCCGCCAAGGGGACGCTCAAGCCGGGCGAGGCAGCTCCCCCGCCCCGCAAGGTCCTTGACCTCGAGTCGATGGCGTTCGCGCAAGGAGGTCGCCTCATGTCGAACAAGAAGTGCAAGCTTCCGGAGGGCTCGTTCAAGCGTTCAAAGAAGGGCTACGAGGAGATTCACGTTCCAGCGCCCAAGCCAGCACCGCTCAAGGACGGCGAGCTTGTACCCGTCTCGAGCATGCCGCAATGGGCGCAGGAGGCGTTCAAGGGAAACCCGACGCTCAACAGGGTTCAGAGTCGCCTCTTCCCCGTCGCGTTCGGTACCGACGAGCCCCTTCTGCTTTGTGCCCCGACGGGCGCAGGCAAGGTGCGTGACCGCTCCCGTCCCAAGCCGAGTCTCGCACTGACGAACGGTCCCACAGACGAACGTCGCCATGCTCACGATTCTCAACGAGCTTGCCAAGCACCGCAACGAGGCTACGGGCGAGTTCGACTTCTCGGCCTTCAAGATCGTCTACGTCGCTCCGATGAAGGCCCTCGTGCAGGAGATGGTCGGCAACTTCACCAAGCGCCTCTCGCCGTACGGCGTCGTCGTCAACGAGTTGACTGGCGACCGTCAGCTCACCAAGCAGCAGATTGCCGAGACGCAGATCATCGTCACGACGCCGGAGAAGTGGGACGTCATCACGCGCAAGAGCACCGACACGAGTTACACGAACCTCGTCTCGCTCATCATCATCGACGAGATCCACCTCCTGCACGACGAGCGTGGACCGGTGCTCGAGTCGATCGTCGCGCGCACGATTCGCCGCATGGAGCAGACGCACAACTATGTCCGCCTCGTCGGTCTCTCGGCGACTCTGCCCAACTTCAAGGACGTCGCGCGCTTCCTCAAAGTCGACCCGGACAAGGGCCTCTTCTACTTCGACTCGTCCTACCGCCCCTGCCCGCTCAAGCAAGAGTTCATCGGCGTCACCGAGAAGAAGGCGATCAAGCGGTACCAGGTCACGAACGAGATCTGCTACGAAAAGGTGCTCGAGCACGCCGGCAAGGACCAGGTCATCATTTTCGTCCACTCGCGCAAGGAGACCGCCAAGACGGCGCGCTTCCTCCGCGACGCTGCGGTCGAAAACGAGACGATCACCCAGTTCCTCCGCGCCGATCCGGCCACGCGCGAGATCCTCACAACCGAGGCCGAGTCTGTCACCGACCCGAACCTCAAGGACCTCCTTCCCTTCGGCTTCGCTATCCACCACGCCGGCATGAACCGCGTCGACCGCACCCTCGTCGAGGATCTCTTCGGCGATGGCCGCATCCAGGTGCTCGTCTCGACTGCGACGCTCGCCTGGGGTGTCAACTTGCCCGCCCACGTCGTCATCATCAAGGGCACGCAGATCTACAACCCGGAGAAGGGTCGCTGGGTGGAACTGTCGAGCCAGGACGTCCTCCAGATGCTCGGACGTGCGGGTCGACCGCAGTACGACACCTTCGGCGAGGGCATCATCATCACGAACCATTCCGAGCTTCAGTATTACCTCTCGATGATGAACCAGCAGCTCCCGATCGAGTCGCAGTTCGTCTCAAAACTCGCCGACAACCTTAACGCCGAAATCGTCCTCGGAACCGTCCGCAACCGCGATGAGGCTGTTCAATGGTGCGTGACTCGCTGTCTCCGTTTGAGCCTCGCTCATTTCTCCTTCCTTTGCAGGCTCGGATACACGTACCTCTACGTGCGCATGCTCGGCACGCCATCGCTCTACTCGGTCGACCCGAACTACGCCGAGGACGACCCTCTGCTCGAGCAGAAGCGGTCCGACATCGTCCACACGGCCGCTGTCCTCCTCGAAAAGTCCGGCCTCGTCCGCTACGACCGCAAGACGGGCGTCTTCCACAGCAACGAGCTCGGCAGGATCGCGTCCGGGTACTATGTCACGCACAACTCGATGGGCGTTTACAACCAGCACCTCAAGTCGGCGAGCGGCTTCATCGAGCTCTTCCGCATCTTCTCGCTGTCGGAAGAGTTCAAGAACGTCCCCGTCCGGCCCGAGGAGAAGCTCGAGCTCGCCAAGCTGCTCGAGCGCGTGCCGATCCCGGTCAAGGAGTCGGTCGATGACCCGTCGGCCAAGATCAACGTCCTCCTCCAGGCGTACATCTCGCAGCTCAAGCTCGACGGCTTCGCCCTCGTCGCCGACATGGTCTACGTCACGCAGTCTGCCGGCCGCATCCTCCGCGCCATGTTCGAGATCTGCCTCAAGCGCGGCTGGGCGGCGCTCACGCACAAGGCGCTCGCGCTCTGCCAGATGGTCGAGAAGCGCATGTGGGGCACGATGACGCCGCTCAGGCAGTTCAAGGGCGTCCCGCTCGACGTCGTCAGGCGCGCGGAGCGGAAGGAGTTCCCGTGGTACCGCTACTTCGACCTTGAGCCTGCCGAGCTCGGGGAGCTCATCGGCGAGCCCAAGGCTGGCCGCCTCGTCCACCGTCTCGTCCACCAATTCCCGAAGCGTGAGTCCCGTCCCCTCCGCTCGAGTTGGCCTTTGACTGACGCGCCGGTTGTCCGCAGTCGAGTTGCAGGCGCACGTCCAGCCGATCACCCGCTCGCTCCTCCGTGTCGAGTTGACGATCACGCCCGACTTTCAGTGGGAGGAGAAGGTTCATGGCGGCGCCGAGTCGTTCTGGGTCCTCGTCGAGGACGTCGACGGCGAGGTCATCCTCTTCCACGACCAGTTCCTCCTCCGACAGCGGTACGCCGAGCAGGACCACTACGTCACCTTCACCGTTCCGATGCTCGACCCTCTCCCGCCCAACTACTTCATCTCGGTCGTCTCTGACCGCTGGCTTCACGCCGAGACCCGCCTGCCCCTCTCCTTCAAGCACCTCATCCTCCCCGAAAAGTTCCCGCCGCCGACAACCCTCCTCGACCTCCAGCCGCTCCCCGTCTCGGCACTCCACAATCGCGAGTTCCAGGCGCTCTACTCGGACATCGAGGCGTTCAACAAGATCCAGACCCAGGTCTTCCAGGCGCTGTACACCGCGAACGACAACGTCTTTGTCGGCGCGCCGACTGGCTCGGGCAAGACGATCTGCGCCGATTTTGCTCTGCTTCGGCTTTGGTCGCAGGCCGAGCCGCGGCGAGCAGTCTGCATCGAGCCGTTCCAGGAGATTGTCGATGCCCGCGTCGCCGAGTGGCGGACCAAGTTCGGCAAGCTGCAGGGCGGCAAGGAGGTTGTCGCGCTTACGGGCGAGACGAGCGCCGACCTGAGGCTGCTCGACAAGGGCGACCTCATCGTCTGCACGCCGACGCAGTGGGACGTTCTGTCGCGACGGTGGAAGCAGCGGAAGAACGTGCAGACTGTCGGCCTGGTCATCGCTGACGAGCTCCAGCTCATCGGCGGCGAGATCGGTCCGACGTACGAGGTCATCCTGTCGCGGACGCGGTACGTCGCGGCGCAAACCGAGAACCCGACTCGCATCGTGGCGTTCGGCGTCTCGCTCGCAAACGCCCGCGACCTCGGCGAATGGCTCGGCTGCACGGCGCAGACGATCTTCAATTTCAGCCCTGGCGCGCGCCCGCTGCCGATGGAGGTCCACCTCCAGTCCTTCAACGTCCCGCACTTCCCGTCGCTCATGATCCAGATGGCGAAGCCGACGTACCTCGCCATCACCGAGTACGCCAACGACCGTCCGGTCATCTGCTTCGTCCCTTCGCGCAGGCAGTGTCGCGCGACAGCGGACGACATCCTCACCTACTGCCTCGCCGACCAGGAAGAGTCGCGCTTCCTCAACGTCGAACCTTCCGAGCTCGCACCTCACCTCGAGCACGTCCAGGACGCCGGCCTGCGGGCGACGCTCGAGCACGGCGTCGGCTTCTACCACGAGGCGCTGTCGAAGCAGGACAAGCGCGTCGTCGAGATGCTGTACAACTCGGGCGCGATCCAGGTCGTCGTCGCCTCGAAGGACGTCGCGTGGAGCATGCCGCTGACGGCGTACATGGTCGTCATCATGGGCGTCCAGTCGTTCGAGGGCAAGGAGCACCGTTACGTCGACTACCCCTTCACCGACGTCCTCCAGATGATGGGTCGCGCCTGTCGCCCCGAGCACGACTCGTCTTCCCGCTGCGTTTTGATGTGCCAGCAGGCGAGTCTGCGCCCGTCTCCCTCGCGCTTGAAGCGGTCAACTAACTTCTGTGTTCGTCGCAGGTCCGCAAGGACTTCTTCAAGAAGTTCCTCAACGAGGGTCTCCCGATCGAGTCGCACCTGCATCTTTCCCTGCACGACCACTTCAACGCCGAGATCGTGACCAAGACCATCGAGAACAAGCAGTGCGTGGCCTTGATCTCTCTGTTGGGCCTACCCGCGTGCTCACCGCGCTCTCGTCGCAATAGGGATGCGGTCGATTGGCTCACCTGGACCTGGATGTACCGCCGCCTCGTCGCCAACCCGAACTACTACAACATGCAGGGCACGACGCATCGGCACCTCAGCGACCACCTCTCCGAGCTCGTCGAGTCGACCCTCGCCGACCTGCAGAACTCGAAGGCGATCACGGTCGAAGACGAGATGGACGTCTCGGCGCTCAACCTCGGCATGATCGCCGCATACTACAACATCAACTACGTGACGATGGACATCTTCTCGATGTCGCTCACCGAGAAGACCAAGCTCAAGGGTCTTCTCGAGATCGTCTCGTCGGCCGCCGAGTTCGAGAACGTCCCGATCCGCCACCACGAGGACCAGCTGCTTCGCAAGGTGTACGACCGCGTCCCGGTCAAGCTCGCCAACGTCGACTACGAGTCTCCCCACTTCAAAGTCAACGTCCTCCTCCAGGCGCACTTCTCGCGCCTCACTCTCCCCGCCGACCTCGCCGCCGACCAGGCCCAGATCCTGCCAAAGGTCATTACGCTTCTCTCGGCATGCGTTGACGTCGCCGCGAGCTCGGGCTACCTGAACGCCGTCGGTGCAATGGAGCTCGCGCAGTGCGTTACGCAGGCAACCTGGGACAGCGACTCGCCCCTGAAGCAGATCCCGCACTTCTCGAGCGAAGTCATCCAGCGCTGCCAGGCTGCTAACGTCAACTCGGTTTACGACCTCCTCGAGCTCGAGGACACCGATCGCGACAAGATCCTCCAGTTCACACCCCGGCAGATGCGGGACGTCGCTGCGTTTGCGAACAGGTACCCAAGTGTTGAGGTGACGTACGCCATCGAGGACCAAGACGAGCTGTCGGCAGGCGAGCCCATCGTCGTCAATGTCCACCTCGAGCGCGAGGCCGACGAGGACGAGGAGATCGACACGACCGTCATCGCGCCGTTCTTCCCGGCTCGCAAGACGGAGCAGCAGTACCTCGTCCTGGCAGAGCGCTCGACCAAGCAGCTCCACGCGGTCAAGAAGGTGACGGTCAACCGGCGCCTCTCGACGAAACTCGAGATGACCTTGTCCAAGGGCTCGCACGACCTCGTTCTCCTTCTCATCTGCGACTCGTACCTCGGGTGTGACCAGGTGCGCTCCCTTTCCCTCCATTTTCTGGTCTGGCCATGCCGCTGACTCCGCGCCATCGCACCCTCGCAGGAGTTCGAGCTCAACGACATCAAGGTGGCCGAGGCGGCGGAGAGCGATGACGACTCGGACGGTGACGAGATGGATGAGGATTAGTCGGTGGCTTGATCGCAGTCCCTGTCTCCTTGCAGTCCCTGTGCTTGTACGTGGCCGGAAAATGTAACATCGGCACGACCCTTCCTTGCAGTCGATGCGACGCATCCTGCGCAGAGAGTTGCTTCTGTTTGGTCCTCGCATTCCCGCAGTCTACGCTCGAGGCAGCCAGTCGGGAGGGAAGCCTGCTGGGAGGCGTTCGCAGCACAACTCGCTCCTCCTCCCTCGACCACGAACACTCGTCTCGCCCCTCACTCCCGCGCATGCTGCCACGATAGCACACTCCATGCCGCCTGCCCGGGCGACGTACTATCGCATCCCAGGCGACGCACTCCCTCGCCCCACAACGCAACCGTCCCGAAGGCGACGTCCACACCCACGGACACTCGCATTGGCGGGACTAGCCATTGTCTCCCTCGTGTACCTACTCTCTCGCCTTCGGGTCCGGCAGCCCGCAGCCCAGCCGGCCACCGTCGCTTCGGACGACACCGCTCCTTCTCTCGACTCGGATCTTCCGAAGACCGCGACCCAGGGCGAGTTGGCAGTACCGACAAGGCCACCGGAGATTGCGTTCGAGCCGCGCTTGCCGTGCAACGATCTTACCGAGACCCTCGTCCCCTCGAGTTCCCTCGCCCACCTCTCCTTGCCGTCGCTCCAGCGATGGGTTTCTCCATCCCCGCCTCTTCCGCCATCGACTCCGCTCGAGGCTCGACTCTCCGACTGGTCGTCAGCGCCTACCGCCCCGTACTCGGACTGGCTGAGATTCAACAAGCAAACTTGCGGAAACCCGTCCACACGAAGAAACCGCAACAACTTGCATGCGCGGGAGAACCAGGCTGCATGGGAGGATCTGGGCGGCGGAGAGGTGCAGAGGATCAGGAGTGAGTTTCGAGCGGTCCTGGCCGACGCTGGGAAGGCGGGAAGGTTCGACGACTGGAAGAAGCCGGGCAGGAAGGGAACGCGAGGTCTCGTGTGGACTGCTGGCAACGCCGTGAGTCCGCTTCGCCGGCTTCAGAGAGCCACGGCAACGTATGAGATGCTGATGGCTGCTGTCATCCCGCAGGACACGTTCGAGCGCTCGCTCGTCTCGTTGCGGCTACTCCGCAAGTCATACAACTGCTCGCTTCCCGCCCAAATCTTCCACTTTACCTCCGAGACCCCCTCTCCCGAACAGGCGGCCGAGTTCGAGTCGCTCGGCGCTCAAGTCCTCGCCCTGCAGTCGCTCGACAAGGAGGAGGGGCAGGGTCGGACCAAGTCTTTCCACCTGAAAGGCGGCGCCGTCGTCGACAGCGCCTTCGACGAGGTCCTCCTGCTCGACTCGGATAACATCCCCGCCCGCGACCCATCGTTCCTCTTCGAGTCGGCGGAGTTCCGCGAGATGGGCGTCGTTCTATGGCCCGACTTCTTCAAGGATCAGCCGGAGAACGTGCGTAGTTTGCGCTTCTGCGGGGCAAGAAGTTCGCTTCTCCGTTGCTGATGCTTCCACGTGCATCTCACCAGGCGATATGGTCGATCCTCGGTATTCAGTGTCGAGACGAGTTCACCGTTGAGGCCGGACAAGTCCTGGTGCGCAAGTCGGATCATCTTGATGCGTGCGTGTGAGGTCCGTCACGTGCCTCTCTCTTGACCGCTAACTTGTCGAATGCCGCAGTCTACTGGTCGTCGAGCACATGCTCAGGGACTGGCGCTTCTGGTTCCAATTTAGCGACGGCGACAAGGACCTGTTCCGTGAGTATTCCTCTCTAAAATTTGTGTCGTTGCGCTGAGCAAGGTTATTCGACAGGCTACGCCCTGCTCGCCCTTCGCAAGCGCTGGGCAATCCCAGCTCGCCACCTCTCTTCCGCGTCCTGGACCGACAAGGGCGCTCTCGGCGCGGAGCACGAGCATCAGTTTGCGGGTCATACGATGGTTCAATACGGATTGGCGAGCGAGGGTCTCCCGGCTAGGCCGCTTTTCATACATGCGAACCTGCTCAAGCGGGTCGTGAGGTGCGTGCCGCGGGTCCGCTCTTTTTCCAGACGCGCTAATGGTTCGGGCAAGCGAGCAGCAATCTCGAGAACGGCAACACATTCGGCCGTACGCTCCAGCTGCGTCTCCCGCTTTCCGTCGGCCACTCTTCCCCGTCTTCCGACAGTTCGCAGCTTTCCGACATGCCGCACGTCGTTCTCTCGGCCGATCACCTCGCCAATACATCTCCAATTACCGGCCTCGGCATCGCTCATGCCGCAGAACGAGCAGCAATACCCGAATGGGTCCGCACGCGCGCTGTCCTCGAGCGTGGCCTCTCGATGCATTTTTGGGACGGCCACCGTGGCGCGGCGTATGTCTTGGCGGTGGAGAGTGAGTGGTCGGATGAGTTGCGGAGTCTTGCCCTTCGCGGTCCGGACGAGGCAGAGACGAACGGTGGTGAGGCGGAAGAGGCGGAACACGAGCAAACGGTTGCTGGGCCGTGGGAGGTGGAAGGGATGGACCGGGAGGAGTGGGAGGAGTGGGTGCGATGGGTGACGCAGGAGCGTGAGGCGTCGTGTACTAGGGAAGGGGGTAACCTCCGAGCGGCACTTCGGTTGGAGAAGCAGTTGTCGGATCTGCCGGACGAAAGGGTCGCTGCAGCGTCGGAGGAAGAGCGGATGGAGGTTATCCTGTGGGTGCAGGACAAAGACCTGCGGGACTTTGAGCAGCGGTTTTATGGAGTAGGAAGGGGGACGGCCGGCGGTTACGGATTCCGCTAGAGCAAGTTGTACTCCAGCCTCGCTCCACAGTTGTTGTAAGCACAGTGCACTCCATTCCTCGTCTCACCTAGAACCGCAGACAACGAAGCAATCGGCGGAGGGCATCCGTTCGTTGGCAGTGATCTTTCAGGAGGGAAGAGGAGGAAGGGGCAAAAGCAACCCTCTCGAGCGAAGCAAAGCGGGACAGCCCGCAGTCGGAGACCGAACGGTTGCGCCTGGTACCTCCGGCGAGATCAGCTTGGCAAGAAAGGGCGGAGCAAAGGGGAAGCGGACAACAAAAAATGAAGCGCCCAATGTGGGGCTCGAACCCACGACCACCAGATTAAGAGTCTGGTGCTCTACCGACTGAGCTAACCGGGCTTCGTTGGGGAGAGCACTTGTTTTAGACTTGGAGAACGCATTTGCACACGCAACAGCCCGGGGCCGTTCTCTTCAGCCTCTTTGCCCTCGTGCTTGAGGTGTATGTTGTCAACGATGGGCTGACAGCTAGGTGGGCAGGAAGAGGGAGGTCAATAGAGGCTCAAGGCGCAGGAACGGAAGAGGAAGTTGTATGTAAATGTCGAGCGTGAGCTGACGAAGAGCCCGAGAAGTGGAAGATACGCACCTTGGCCTGACGATGGTAGCCAGGAACTCAGAAGTAGGCCATCAAGCCGACAAGGGTCGTGAACTTGTGAAGATGCCCTGGATTGCAAATGTCCAGCCTCTACCCTTCAGAAGTTCAGTCCTCTGCGCGTGATGTGGCTGATAGCCCAGGCAATGATGGTGCCAAGGCTGGTAGCGTGCGCAGGCCAGTGCGGGTTGTAGTCCCGCACCTTCAGACGCCCCACCGAGTCTGACGTCCTTCATGAGGTCAACAAGCTCAGCAATGCCGATGTTGGAACTTGGAAGGGTTGAGAAAGCTGGATAGGTAGTGGAAAGTGAGGTCAGGGAGGAGAGCAAGGTCGACTGCGGACCACAAGGAACGTCAGCCTCAAACGACGTCCATAGGCTTGATCGACAGGTCTTCTCACCCTTGCACAGTGCTCGTTGTTCCTCCTCCGCCATGTAGGAGATGGTCACAGAAAGCAAAACCTGACCGCTGTTGGTCAAGTCCGGCCTCCCCTTCTCGACGCTCGACACATCCTGGAAGTCCTTCGTCAAAGCCATATCTGAGGAGTGACAAAAGCTGCTCGAGTTGCAAATGAGGTCAAGCGAAGCAGCGATTGGCAGCCAGTCGACGAGAGAGAGGCAGAGAAGCGGAGGAGAAGGAGAAGAAACGCAACCCCAGAGTTGCACTAGCTCGTCTCCGACGATCCGCACGCTTGCATCGCACGAGATAGCACCATTCCGACGCAGCTGCTTGGCGCAAGACCGATCCCAAGGGAATCAAGGATGGTGCGCAGGACGACGAGGATGGCGCCATTTTGGTCGAGAGCTGAACGCTGCGGGCTTGGAAGGTCGTCAACCGATGCGAGACGCGCCAGCCGCGGCTCTTGAGGAGCATGGAAGGGTATGGACATTGCGAGGGTACGTGCTGAACGACGGCGGAAGGCGGAGAGGGCGACTACAAGCGGAGACGGATGCGAAGCGAGACTATGCGACAAGGATGAGGGCGGAGAGCGGGGTCTGACGGACGGCTGGCGGTTAGTCGACCTGGGTGGTCGAACGGTCGTCGTACTGCAGTTGCTGATCACGACCGCCGCCGGAACGCCTGGCGGGCTTGACAACGAGGTCGTTCTGCATGAGCTTCATCCTGCGGTCGTAGCGAGCATGTAAGCTTGTGAGAGACCAGTAGTGCAAGGTTGTACGCACCTGAGATGATTCGCAACCGCCCTCTTCTGCATCTTCTTGCCCTCGTCAAGCGCGTTCTTGGACGTCTCCACCCTCGGGTCCTGCATCCTCGCCACCAACACGCCCTTGGCCGAGTCAATCCTTGCCTTGAGCATCCCACTACCGACGAGCTCGGCGACCGCTGCCTGCATGTAGTCCTCGTGCCAGCCGAACGCGGCAGCCATGCGGGAGAGCGAGACGGAGGCGAACGGGGCAAAGTAGGCTTGGATGGCACCCAGGCGGATCGAGTGGACAAGTGCTTTGACGTGATGGGCAAGGTGAATGTCGAGGAGGAGGCAGGCCTACGGAAGTTGGGAAAGTCAGTTGGCCTTCTCTCGCGCAATGGCTGTGCCGCTTCACGCACCTCATATTTGGCGAGCAGCTCGAGGCCAGTCTTGAACTGGCTGTCGTGGAAGGCGCGGACAATGTCGCGGAGGTACGGCTCGAGGTCGAGGAAAGGGCGGAGGTTGGTGTTCGCGAGAACGCGGGAGCGAAGGGCGGAGCGGGAGAAGCAGGCGAGACCGGTGATGACGGCGTAGAGGGCGACGTCCGCAGCGGGAATGAACTGCAGGAAGTACATGGCCATCATATGTTGTCATCTGGACGCAGAGGGAGTGAAGCATATGTACACGACCAGACCAGGCCCGCGGATCAGCGCATCCACTCCAAAATCTGTGAAATCATACACCGCCTTCTTGTTCAACCCCATGCCCATGTACGCCACCGCTCCAGCAACCGTCAGCCTCTCCTGCACAATCCAGCGGGGTTGAGTCCGGGCACAACCATGCCAGGTGAGTTGACCGGTGCATCCTTGTTCTTCCTGCTTGCTGCAAATGATTGTGTGGCTTCACTGGAAGACTGGGCCTGGACAATGTTGTTGGAGATGAATGCAGACTTTGACATGTCAAGCAAATCGTGGGCAGGAGAGTTAGCTGGGTCTCCCATTCCCAAGGAGACGTGACACTGCACACCTCAATGATGTTGAGACATCTCTCGAGGACATGGTGACTTGTGTTCAGTACTCGCAACTCTTGGTGCCTAAGCAGACAGCGCCTCACAAGTCGCCCATGCAGTAGTCATGCAGTAGAGAAAGCCAGCGAGGTTGCGGTGGCACAACGAGGATCAGCTCGACATTGCCTGACAGTCAAAACAAGGCTTCAGGAGGAATGTCTCGTGCGCACCCTGATCGACTCCTTGACCCCCGATCTCTCCAGCCCACTCTGCGTGTCCCTCTTCATCTTGTCACTCCACATGCGTCGAGCTGGTCCTGGTTGTCCTCGACTTGCTCAAACCAAGCAAGCGCCTGCCGATCCTGGTCTTTGCTCTTGGCAATGCCATCGAGGAACTGGTGGTAGCAGTGGTACGTCTCGTTACAGAAACGTGTGTCAAGCGTGAGGGCCTTGATTGTGGCAAGAGTGAGCGAGAGAGCGGGTCCAGCAAGGGGCGAAGACAAGTTGGCAACACAGAAAGCAGGTAGCTGGTCCTATTGTGGTAAGTCACTGAGCACGTGCAAGTGCTCAGATTGCTCGATCAATGCTCTGCCGGGCTGACAGACTGTCAAAGCACTATCCTACAACCAGGCAAGCGAGTGTTGTCAGGTGATGAGTCTGGTGAAAGGCTAGGCTTCGATGTTGACACCTCACTGCTGGGGCAATGAAGAGAAAGCACATGTGTTTGCCAGATTGGCCTATCAGCGAGAGCACTAAAAGATACAGAACCCAACGAGCACACCTGGTTCTGCCTATCAGCAAGAGCGCGATGCGGAAGAACAAGAGAGGGTGTGCGTGTGAAAGCCGTCTCCACTTGTCAACGCCTAGATCCCACCATGACTCTACCCCTCCGCTGCTGACTGCTCAACACTGCTCTGCACTGCCAATCTCCGCAAGTGAGGCATGAGCCTTACACCCCTCCCCCGCTAACCAGCAAAGAGCCTCTTTGCTCACATCTCCCCGCTTTGCCCCTTCCACACAGCCAGCGCCTACGTGTCCTTGACATCTGCCGGAGGTTCTCAAGTATAATTTGAGTCTGGGTAACCGCCCCATTTGACCAGCTCACACCTTGCACAACCCCTGCCCTTCTTGTCGACAATTGCCTCATGATGGAGTACTTTTCAGCCTTGACGTTGAGCAGTTTGGGAAAGTGTGGGTGGTGCGAAGGAAGGTCACGGCCTTGTTCAACTTGCATGCCTTCATTTTTGATGCATGGAGGACTAGGCAAGTGCAGTTGCCAGCTGGAAGGCCAATCTTGTAGTTGCTTGTCCATACCAACAGGTTTAAAAATCTTGTAAGAGCAGTCCCAGAGAGGGAAGAGTTGAGCGGCACGCAGATTCTGCTTGCACGCCTTGTAGCGAGAAGAACAATCTGACAAATCAACCATGACCAAATTGTGCACTGCAAAGGTCAGCTCGTCGCTCAGCTGCTTCAAGCGCTTGCCTGCTGCACCTGCTAACATGTGCAGCAGCCAATGGGTCTCATGCGTCCTTGATGCACTGCTCACAAACCTTGAGTGTCCATTAGACGGCTGGCACCCTAGAGGACAGTGAGGTCAACATGAAAGTCAGCTGGAACCCAAGGATAAGCTGGAATGGCAAGCAACCAGTTGACTCATTGACAGCGGTGTTGATCAAGGATAGGATAGGATAGGATAGATTCCGAGTTTAAAGTTGTTCAGGCCTGGAAAGACCCATGTCAACTTGGGGCCACCTACAAGGGCGAGCCGCCGGGCGCTACATGAGCTACAAGAGGGAGGGGGGCGTACAACTGTGGGAAGCAATAAGAAGCCAGAATAAAATGAAGCAGTGGTTGGAAGAAGCGAGGAGAGAAAATCTTGTCCATCTTGAGGTTCGTCAAGCCAATTCCGTGCCGGAGCTGCTGTTGCTTGTCCATGTAGAGCGAGCACTCGAGGATGGAGTGCTGGCGGGTCTCCACCGCCTCGCCGCGCTCGCGCAAAGTTCCGTCCCAAGACCCATCCGCGCCTTCGACAATCCCAAGTCGTTGAAATCGAGCCGAAGACATGTGAGGAGGGTGGAGTGAACCCTGTCAAGTGAATGTAGAGCTCGAATGAAAGTTGGTCCCGGCGGGCGGACGTTGACAGCGCGAAGTCCAGCGTCCGGCGACGAGGAGAGGGTCCATCGCCATGTCCATTACGCGAACAGCGATGCGCGGTGTTGATTGAGAATTCAACAGTAGAGAGACGTGAGGTCCAGTCACTGTGCTGGGGCGAGACGTACTGTTGCAGGACCTGCACAACTGTCTTGTTCGTCTGCTCGTTTTCGCTCAGTCTTGGGGTAGAAAGACCCTCAGCAGGGTTCTTTTACTGCAAGCCATGAGCCGCGAGTAGCCAGAGAGGTGGTCCGGGATCGTTAGCAGCATGTCATTGCCGTTTGACCAGTTACGACCTTCATTGCTGGAACAGTTGCGTTCAGCCGGAATGTACTGGCAGGAGTAGAAGCCGCAAGGGTGCGCCATCTTCCATTCCGGACCCTGTAGCAGCACTGCACTGAAGCCGGTCCTTTCATGCATCTATCATGAGCCAAATTGGTTCATCCAATTCCTGGTTGACCAGGCAAAGGAGGGTGAGCGAGGTAACAATCTGTTAGATAGCCTCAAAAGCCTTCTCTTCCCGCTGGACCCAGTGTCGCCCAACATCCGCAAACCCTGTGAGGACCCACATTTGCTCTGTCAGTGAGGGAATGAACTCCGCAGGTACTGGATGAGCCTGAGGAAGCTGCAAACTTGCGGGACTGGCCAAGGACGAGACCAGTTCTTGACCTTCTCATGCAGACCGGAGTGAGTGGAGGCCAGCCCTCACCGGCACGCTCACCGGGGTGGCTCAATCCACCAGGCGTCGCGCCACCATGTGAGTTGCGTTGGCTCCGCCTGCAGACTCACTGGGGCAAGCGGCACACTCACTCGCACACCCACTGGCCCTCGCGCCCGTCAGTATTGTCGACCGCGCACAGTCACTGGTGTCGGCGTTCCGTCCGCCTCCCGAGTCAACTCGCTCGTTTCCCTCTCAGATAGGGCGTCGCAGGCTTTGCTGTGTGCATCTAGGGCTCGATAGACAGTCTGATAGCCCATTTGTAGCATGCAGGAAACACAAACGTGTGCTGGGGATTCGAAGGAGGAGACTCCGCTGTGTGTGAGCTGATGAGCTCGTCAGATCTCACTGTCAAGGCACTTGAGAGGGATACGGAGAGCGAAAGCACTGCAAGACAGGCTCAAGACAGGTAACAAAGACTGGCTACAAACAACGATCGTACATCCTCTCCTGCGCCAGGAGATGCCGACCCTCCCTCCTCCTCAGACCGCCACCCTTTTCCACGCCCCTCGCCTTGTTTCCTCCCCCTCCCTCTGCCTGTGCAACTTGGCGATCTTGGCAACAGCGCTCAAATTGCAGCCCGTCTCCGCCGCAATGCCGTTGAGGGCCTCTTCAGGCGTGACACCGCTGGAGAGGTGCGACTCAACAGCCCGGATGACAAGACAAAAGAGGTGAATGCGCTGGCGTGACTGCAAGAGAAGAACAAAGTCAGTAGAGAGCTTTCTGAGGTGATCCGGAAGAAAGGAGAGAGAGGACGGAAGCAACGTACGGCATTGTTGAGCTTTGAGGTGCAACCATTTCCCAAGAGAGAGACAGGAGTTCTTGTTTCAAGTCATGTAAGGCTGAGCCCATGTAGCGGCAAAGTCTGGCTGTCACAGTGTGTAACGGGTTAGAAGGGCTCTCTACCGGAGTGCGGAAGCTAGAGCAAGCCACTGACTAATCCTCATCCATCTCATCACCGTCCGAGTTGTCATCGCTCTCCGCCGCCTCGGCCACCTTGATGTCGTTGAGCTCGAATTCCTGCGAGGGTGCAGAGGTGCAGAGTCAGCGGCAAGGCCAGACCAGGGAACGGAGCAAAACGAAGCGCACCTGGTCACACCCGAGGTACGAGTCGCAGATGAGAAGGAGGACGAGGTCGTGCGAGCCCTTGGACAAGGTCATCTCGAGTTTCGTCGATAGATAGATAGATAGATTCTTGTTTCAAGTTCTTTCGGGTCTAAGCCCATGATGACCGGCAGAGGCTGGCTGCCACAGCGCAGAACGGTAGAAGTGGGTATACTACTGATGGATGGGAGTCATTGGAGCGGACGGATAGGTCAAAAGGCGATTCAGAAGTGAGCGAGAGGAAGAGAGGGTCAAGAAGTGAAATGGAACGAGAACGGGTGCGCGTGGGTCAGAGCGAGGTGGTTAGACAGGTAGAGGGGTGTATGTTGTATCAGGAGAAGTTGAAACGAAGCGAAAAGGTCGCGGAGTGGGCGAGAAATGAGAGTTCTTGGTCTTGACCTGGAAGAACGACGACCACGAGTTCCGACGGAGCCGGTGCGGGCCGAGACAGCATCGTGGGGTTCATTGGAGTGTTAGGGGAGGGGGGTAAGCGCTGACGGCGGTTTGGCGGGTTTCTGGAGGAGGGAGAGTCGATGAGGGAGTGGAGGGGGTGGAAGGGGCGGAGCCGGTGGTCGTCCGGGCGGTCCCTTCGCGTCTCCGTCCGGCCCTTACTACTTGTCCTTCTTCTCCACCTCGGGCGCCCTCGATAGTCGCGGGAAGCGCCCTGTGGAGTCGAGGAAATCGAGAAGAGGGTCGCGGTAGGAGGGGTTGCCGAGGAGGAGGCCGGCGGTGGGGAGTTTGCGCAGGCGGAGGTGCTTGAGAAGCGAGTTGCGGGCTTCGTCGTAGAGCGGGCATGTGAGAAGCAGGTGTTCCCGCGTCTCCTGCTCGCCGCATTCGCAGAGGTCCGTTTGCATCGGGTCGAAGCGGGCGCGGTAGGCGTTGAGAGCGCAAGCGCCGGTTCGAAGTCGACAAAGCAGTGTAGCTCGGCGCCTGCTGAGCCCGTCGTAGTACCGAGACGAGCGAGAGGCGAGTGGTGAGGCGACAAAGAGTTGCCGGCCGGCAGTGGGGCGGCGCCATTCATCGTCCCACCGCGCGCGCGTCGCCTGCTTGTGTGCCATCCATAGCGCCGAGATACTAGCGGGTAGCTGAGCGTCGGAACCAGAGCCAGGCGAGGTGTTGTCGCTGAGTTGTGTGAGGCGGGCCGACTTGGCGAGATGGCGGGTCGACCGGCCTCCTCGCTCGCCCTCCTCCCACTCACTCCCTTCGTCCTCCGACGCATCCGACAGCTCCGCCATCTCCGGTACGAACACCAGACGCCCCTTTAGGTGCGTCCTGCGCTCCTTCCGCTGCTCCCGCGCGCGCTCCGCTGACTCCATCTCCCGCACCGCCTCCTTCGCCGCCAGATCCGCGACCTCGTTCCCGACGACGCCTACATGCCCCGGCGACCAGGAGAGGAGGATTGTGGTGCTCACACAGGTACGCCTACGCTCCTGGAACGCTCGCCGGATCGCGAGGCGGAGGTACTGGCCGGACGAGGGATTCGGGTCGGTCGAGTGGGTGAGAGCCGAGGTGTTGTCGACGGAGAAGAGGACATGCGAGGGCGGGTTAGCGGTGTCCTGGACTGCTTGGAGTGCGAGGAGGATCCCCTGCAGTTCGCCTGAGTACTGCAGGGGATCCTCCTCGCCGAGAGGCGCCGGTTGACCGTCACCTTCTTGACCGCGTGGAGCTGCTTGGTCGAGCGTTCCGCCAAGACGAGGTACTGCTGCTCCGTCTTGCGACCCGGGAAGAACGGCGCGATGACGGTCGTGTCGATCTCCTCGTCCTCGTCGGCCTCGCGCTCGAGGTGGACATTGACGACGATGGGCTTGCCTGCCGACAGCTCGTCTTGGTCCTCGATGTCGTACGTCACCTCAACACTTGGGTACCTGTTCGCAAACGCAGCGACGTCCCGCATCTGCCGGGGTGTGTGAACTGGAGGATCTTGTCGCGATCGGTGTCCTCGAGCTCGAGGAGGTCGTAAACCGAGTTGACATTAGCAGCCTGGCAGCGCTGGATGACTTCGCTCGAGAAGTGCGGGATCTGCTTCAGGGGCGAGTCGCTGTCCCAGGTTGCCTGCGTAACGCACTGCGCGAGCTCCATTGCACCGACGGCGTTCAGGTAGCCCGAGCTCGCGGCGACGTCAACGCATGCCGAGAGAAGCGTGATAACCTTCGGCCGGATCTGGACCTGGTCGGCGGCGAGGTCGGCGGGGAGAGTAAGGCGCGAGAAGTGCGCCTGGAGGAGGACGTTGACCTTGAAATGGGGAGTCTTGTACTTGACATTAGCAAGCTTGACCGGGACGCCGGTAGTAGGAGTTGAGGGGCGACGGTACCAAGTCTCCAGGTCCGGGGCCGGGCTTCAACATGAACAGTTTGAGGTAGGAGATGTGGAGAGGCAGTCGTTCATGTGGTGCAGATTTGGCAGGTCATTGTGGTGTGGTGAAGAGAGAGAGACAGAGAGATTCTTGTTTCAAGTCGTATTGTGGCTGAGCCCATGTAGACCGGCAGAGCCTGGCTGCCACAGCACAAAACATGTCTGATAGGGTAGCTACTGATGATGAGGGGCTATAGAAAGTGGGGTAGTAGAGGGCGGAGCACAGTGGAACGGCAAAGTGAGTGTAAGAGTGAGAAAGTGCGAGAGAATGGGAAGGAGGGAAGGTGGAGAAACGCGGCACGGTGAGCTGATAGACGAGGGTGTGTGGAGCTGGAGGAACAAAGAAAAAAGCCAAACCATCGGGAAGCCATTGAGAGAATGCCATTCTTGATCTTGACCTTCTTGGACCGCGACAACGATGCCGGCGGCGGCGGGACCAGGAGGTGGGCGCGTCCGCATGGTGTAGTGATGTGAGGGGTACCGGTAGGGTATGAAGCGGGGTGAGACGGCGGCGGTTTGGGCGAGTGAGAGCCGGAAAGGGCTGAGGCGTGGTGCAAGTAGGAGAGGTTGCGCCGCCGTAGAGACTCCTCCTACGCTCTGCCCCGCTCCCTTCCCTCCTTCTTACCCCCTTCTCACTGCTTATCTTGTACCAGCTCCGCCAGAAGTGTGAAGCGACCCGTAGCGGGAGCTTGATTGTCGGCAATGCGACAAGGACGGCAATTGTGGGGGTTTAGCGCAGGCGGATGTGCTTGTAGAGCGTGTGTCGAGCCTGCTGGTGAAGCGGAGGGTGCGGAGGACGCTCGGTGCTGCAGGTTGCGAGTCAGCAATGCGCGTCGCACTTTCTTTCCCTAGCCTGGCTACGCCCGTCGCAAGTTCCGCCATCTGATCCGCGTCCCGTGCGGCATACTCCAGGAACAAGTTGGTGGTGAGGATGACAGCCTGCGCACAGGACGGAGGCAAGAGCGTCATCATCGAGCCCAGCAAGCGGGGTGGAACCAAAACTCACAGCTTAGCATGCCTGTGCGCCTGCTTCTGCAGCGCAATGTTCAGGTTCTTCAGATTGCTTGTCTTGTATTGGCAAGAGCGGTTGAGGGCCGCTCGGATGCGGTTCAGCATTGCATACATCGTGGCAGGAGCGGGCTGCATGCAACTGGAGTCAGCTCATGGATTTGTCAAGCTCGATTGGATCACGCACCACCGACAGCATGCCTTCCTTCGATCTCGCAACCCTGGCGAGTGGGCTTGTTGCACCTCGGGAGGTACTGGATGTGGTCTATCAGGGTGTAGTAGTCAAGTATGTTAGCGGATATTGAGCAGTCAGGGTAAGCTAGCTGTTTGCAGCCAGGCCTGTGGAACAAGCAAAGGAAGGTCAGTCAGATGCCCATGTCCTGCCTCCGCTGTCACATCCGTTCCGCCACCCAGTGCTTGATCACATGCACAAGAACTCACCGCATATTACGCAATAGTACGATGCTCCGAGTGTCGTGCTTGTGGTCGCCATGTAGGTGACAATTTGGCGCGAGGCAAGGCAATGGGCACTTGGCGAGTGTTGAAAGACGCGCCTACAGATGGTTGAATGCCTGGTTGACCGCAGCTTTGAGATAGACATTGCCAAAGCTGGTGCGAGTTGCGCGTTGTCGTCCTTGTCGTCAGTATTGTGGTCCGCATCAACGAGCAACTCCGCCGTGACACTGACAAGGTCGTCAGCCGCCATCCAGTGTTGTCTTGTCCTTGCTGGGGGGGCCATGAGAGTCAGCAGGCCGGGCCTCAACACCTTGATGACAATTAGATGAAAGCACAAAGGGGTGCCAAAAGCGGACCCACCTGTTAGGCTTGGGCTAAGCTCGCTTCTCCAACCCTCCCTTCTCAAAACAAGCACCGTACACTATTTGACTCAAGTTGGTCCAACCTCTGCAACTGCAGCAAGGTGGAGAGTCGGAAACACTTCCTGGTTCTATAAACAGGCCTGACACTCGTTGATCAAGCATCTCTGCCTATGCAAACTGCCCACTGCTAGCCAGCTCCTAGCAACTTCCACGCTCCCCTCCTCGACTTTCTCCACCACACCGGACAATTGCCACACCTGACAAAGGCGCGGCAGGGAGAGAGGGTGGGAAAGTAGACAAGGAGGCAATCCAGGCGGAAGAACAGCCAACAACGACCTACCAGGACTGATTGTCTCCTCCCACCCAGCTCCAATCGTGCCCTTCTCCTCCCAGACCCCGCCAACCCGCCCCACCTCGTGCACCCTCACGCTAGCACACCAGCGGACACCACAAGGTTGGCTCAACCCACCCCCAGCCACGCCACTCCAACCGCGCCACTCCCCATTGTTGGCGTCTGTCCACGACCAAGACCAAGACACCTCCTTTCTCACTCGCTACTCAACTGTTTTGCTCCACTTTAGTTTCCCCGACCACGTCGACCCGCACCTACCCAACCCCCTTTTCGACTCTCTCTCGCCCATTTTGTCCTTGATCTGCCCCGCCCCGGGCTCGGCAAGCACCCTTCATCACTCTCTACCACACGACCCGCCCACACTCCGTCCCCACCACCACCGTCGTTGTCGTTGCGGCTCAAGAAGGTCAAGAACAAGATCGGCATTTTCTCGATGGTTTCTCAACGGATTGGCTTCGTTCTTCGTTCCTCCAACCCCACACACCCTCCTCTACCAGCTCACCACGCCGCGTCCGTTTACTCTCACTCCCTTTCGTTTTATCGCACTTCTTCGCTATCGCTTCTACTTTTCCGCTCTCCTTCCATCCACCCTCCCACTGTACTACTCCTATAGCCTCCCCACGTCAGTAGATACCCCATCCAACACATTATGCGCTGTGGCAGTCAGTCCCTGCTGGTCTACATGGGCTTAGCCCCAATATGACTTGAAAGAAGAACTTCTCTCTCTCTCTCTCTGCTTGTCCTTCACTGGCTCCATCAGGCACGTGAATTGGCCGGTAGACGTGATGAAGTTGAGGAGCGAGGCGCGGTAGTTGACATTGCCAAGGAGCCCGCCAATTGTGAGAGACAGGATTTCTTGTTTCAAGTCAGATTGGGTCTAAGCTCATGGTGACTGGCAGAGGCTGGCTGCCACAGTGTAACACAGCGAGAGTGGGTACTGTACTGATGCGGGAGAGTCGAAAGAACGGTCAAGAAGAGTCAGGAAATGAGTCAGAGGCAAAGGAGATGAGGGGGCGACTAAGAATCGTGGGAAAAAGGAGCGGGTGTGAAGGCAAGCAAATAGAGGTGTGTGCGTTGGGTCGGGAGAGAGAGAGAGAGAGAGAGATTCTTGTTTCAAGTCATATCGGGGCTAAGCCCATGCAGACCAGCAGGGACTGACTGCCACAGCGCATAATGTTATGGAAGGGGTATCTACTGATGTGGAGAGATCATATGAAGTGGAGAAATAGACGGGCGAGCACAGCGGAGCGGAGAAGTAAGCGTGAGGGTGAGAAGGTGCGAAAGAATCGGAGGGAGTAGTGATAGAAAGGTGCGGCGTGGCGAGCTAATGGAGGAGGGTGTGTAGGGTAGGAGGGACGAAGAACGAAGCCAAACCGTTGAAAAACCATCGAGATAATGCCATTCTTGATCTTGACCTTCTTGGACCGCGACGTCAACGACGACGAAAGCGGGGATGGGGTGTGGGTGGGTCGTGTGGTAGAGCGTGATGACGGGTACTTGCCGGGCTCGAGGCGGGGCGGGTTGCGGGTGAATTGGGCGAGGGAGAGCGGAAGAGGGTATGGGGTAGAGCGGTTTGAGGTGATGATGGCGCCGGGTGGTCTCCTCCTACGCGACGAGCAGGGAGGGGAGGGCAAGAAGGAGAAGGAGGAGCAATACAGAGCGTACATAGGAGGAGACTCAACAACACCACAATCACCCCTACCCATCCGCCCCTTCTCCTTCTTGCCTCTCTCCCGCCCAAATCACCTTCAACTCACCCCGCTCAAAGCCTGACAGACAATCTCGCTCCCGTCTTTCCCGCCGACATTGTCACTGCAGAAGAAGGTGAAGACCAGATTTGGCATTATCCCGCTGGGTTTGCTATTGTTTGACTTCATTCTTGCTTCTCCCAGCACTTCATTTCCCCCAATTAGAGCAGTGGTCACACTTCCTGACTCTGCTTCTCTGCTGCTAACCACTCAACACCTCTCTCCGCCGCAAACATCTGCAAGGGAAGCGTGAGCCTTGCATTTGCCAATGACAGGTCAGCGGGTCCGGCGCGATCGCGTGCTGGGCATGTCAACCTGAATCCTGACTCTGGGCCTTGCAAGCAAGCCAGCACGCAATCAAGCAAAGTGCAATGACGTGGAAAAGGTCAGCTTGCTTGCTTGTCGTGGGAGACATGCACGAACGATGGACAAGAGAGAGCAGATCTTGTTATAAGGCAATTGCAGTGTAAGCCAAAGGAGACCTGCAGAAAATGGCTGCTGCGGCATATACCGGCAAGAAGGATAGACTACTGAAGTGGTGGAAGTGTTAGAGAAACGTGGAGAAGGAGTATGTGGGAAACTGGGCCAAAAATCACAGTAAAACACTAAAGAGTGGATGTGTGCCAGAGTGAGGTGAATTGATAGATAAGCTGAGTGTATGAAAGTCAGATGAGGCCCAAACACGGTGAAACAGCTCAAGAACAAGCAAAAAAAAATGGTTCTTGGCTGTCGTCTGGAAAGGCGGTGATGAAGGTTGTGGTAGCCTTGAGATGGCATTTTGAGGGGTTGGTGCAGCTGAGTGAGGTGTAGGCTGAGAGCTGAATGTGGGAACGTGGAATTTTGAGGTGCCGAGGGCGAGTAACGCAGGAAGAGATGGAGAGGGAGGTGGGAATCATTGATGTTGGATTCCCTGCACATTCCCTTATTTTCTCCCTCTTGCTTCTGCTCAGTCTACATATCCATCCCCCCCGGGCGACATCAACAGCTGTGCACATCAACCACTGCTCCCTAGAAGTCAAGGAGAGACTGTAGGTAGAGGGGGTCATATGGAGCTGACCGCAGTGAGTGGTTGAGTGCTAGTGTGGGAGCATTGTACAGCTGACTATGGTCCAGAAGTAGTGGTAACACAAAGAAACAAGGGTGTGGACATCCTACAGATGTCCTCCTCCTCCTATGTTCCTCCCTGCAACCAACTTGTGCCTGTCTAAGCTGTCGGGTTCTGCTCCGCCTCCTTTGACTCTTCTGCATGGCTGGAACCTGTGCACTGTCTTCCTCGATCTTGTCGCTTGTCACACATCTTCGACGCCTATTGTCCCACTGTGATGCCACCCACGCTCTGCTCTCCCCATTCAGTGAGGAGGAGGAGTGATCTCTCCTGTTCTCTTGCCCAATGTACAACAAGGCCTGTTGCTCGCTCCAAGCACCTCCACTTGTGCAAACCTCACACTTGGTTCAGTCAGGGAGAAATGGGAAAAGGTGTCGGGTATGGAAGATGGGATTCTGGTATTGCTTCAGATAAGCATGGTGCAGGGTCTGACAGAGCTAGGACATTGTGATGTCTCAGGGTCTATAGGTTACTGCCGGCATGGAGGACTTCAGGGTAAGCCAGAGGAAGGGCAGCCGATACAAGGTGCATTGAAGAGCTGTCTTTGATGTGAATGTGCATGATTGCTGGTTGCACCTTCAGCGAGAGCATGAAGAGACAGCAACGGACACACCTGATCATACTGTACCTCTCAGTGCAAGCAGGAAGAGGAAGAATCAGAGATTAGAGAAGTAGGCTTGAAAGCTGGCGCGCAGTCTGCAGCTCTCGGTTCTCTTGTCATTTGTCCGCTTCAGCACTTCTCACTAATGAATCTTGGTCTGCAGGTTGATTTTGAGGGAATCAGAGCCAGGAAGAGACACAGAAGCAAGACGTTGACGTAGCAGCAGTTCCGGTTGTCCGTCTGCATCTTCCGACCTTCTCCTCCTCTACCCTTCTTGCGCTCCTATGCATCAGCCCCGGGAAGCTGACCGCCCTGTGCAGTCCCGGAGTCAAGGAATGGATTGGAGTGGGAGGGGTCGCTGAGAAGCTGGCCGAGAGATCGAGCGAAGGAGTGAAGAGCGCCTCTTGCACTGCTGCTTGCTCACTTGCGCGTGCATCCTAGCCGCCTGGCAAAAGCCTCAGGGGTTGAAGACATGACAAATACATCCAACAGACACACTGGTAGGCAGACAGAGAGGTCGAGAGGGAGGGAAGCCAAGACCGAAGCCCTTCAAGCCATCTCAATGTCGCCCCCCGAAGGTACCGCTGCCGGTCCCGCAGGCTTGTTCTACAAGGGCAGCAGGGACAGTCAGCACATTTTGCTACGCTCTAGGAGAGAGAGGCAACTGAGCGCACCTCCGGGGTCTTCATGAACGCCTCAAGCTCCTTGTCCAAGTCATCCGCCGTCTTCGGCTCCTTCCTGACCCGATCCCTGCCTTGTTGACCGGCACCACCACCTCGTCCGCCACGCGCGCTACCTCTCGCACCACCTCGGCCACTCCCGGGTCCCCGCTCGCTCCGCGGTCCGGTTGGTGCGCCTCCTGAGACGTGGCGAGTGCCGGAACCGCGGTCTGCCGAAGATGCGAACCTAGGGCCGCGACCACTGGAACATGCAGAGCGTGAGCTGGCTGACAGACGGTGGACAGAGTAAACCCGACGCACTCGTTGTTGCCGAGTCGCGCGAGAAGCGTGCCGGGAGCCGCAGGGCCGGGCGGAGGGCCGACCCGATAGTCAAAGTCTATCTCGAGTGGCTCACCTGGTAGGACACAACACGACGACATGAGCGCGGATCTGAGGCAATGCGCAAGGACGGGACGCACCTTTCGCCAAAGCGCCATTGAACGCCTCCTTTGCCTGCGCTGCGTGCTTCTCGTTCGTGTACGTCACCCACGCGATGCCCTCTGAGCGGCCAGAGCGATCAAACTTCGGATCAGGCGATGCACGGCGCGAGTTGCGCAGGCGGGGATGGGGAGGGTAAGAGGGTGGAAGGCAAGGAGAGGCGTGCGTGAGCGAGGTTAACCGTGCGGTTGAAGGTCGTTCCCGGTACTAGCGCCGTCGCGGACCGCAAGACCTGTAGACCGGGAGATGGGGGAGAGGGGAAGACGATGGTGTAGCCGTACTTTGATCTTTGGCCCAGCTGCAATCGGTCCAATCTGCGATGCAACGGGTCAGCCTCCACGCAAGAGGGCGCGGTATGCGATGCGAACTCGCCTGCACAAAGAGGAGCTGGCAGAAGTGCGAGGTCAGCGACTATCAGCAGCGTGAAGACGAAGGGGCGCGACACACCTCAAGCTCCCTCTCCGACACCTCGTAGTGAACGTTTTTGATGATCAGCTTGGCGCTCGCGCCGGACGAGGCGTCTCCTGCTGAAGCTGGCGCGTTGCGCGTTGTGGACCTGTGAGAGCCTTCGCCGCGTGGCTCGCCATCCGCATCGAACTTGTCGTGCTTCCAGCTGTCGTTCCCAGGACGCTGCGAGTGTCGAAGGGCAAGTCAGCGCGCCGCACGCCGGACCCGTCGACCCGTCGCTGTGCCGCCCAGACGGCCTCCGCAGCTGTCCCGCGACCAAGGCGCGAACGCGCGGCTCGGGAAGCGACTGGGTGCAACGTTTCTTCTTCCGTGAGGTTCAGACTAGTGCACGCACCGCATAAGGGCTCCCGCGCGTCTGCCCGCCGCCGCTGACCCGCCTGTTTCCCTCCCCGCTTGCCGTCTCCTTCCTCACCGCTCCGAGGGTGCGCTCAAGCAAAGAAGCCATGCGTGGTGTAGTCGGTGCTGAATGAAGCGTCTGCCGGTGCCCGATGAGCGAGAGGTCGAGAGAACTGGTGTGGGGGAGGGAGAGTAAGGTGGAAGCGGTTGCGACTCTCCTTTCGCCCACGAAGCGCGCGTCAATAGCGCTGTAGGCACACTGCCGGAGTCCGTGGCACTGCGTAGCACAGCGTAGGCTTCTGAGAGGGAACTCGCTCGCCAGGAATTTAGCGAAAGCCCTGTTCTCTCCTCGACCTGGACACACGCCGAAAGAGATGGAGGTGGTAACAGGGTGGTAAAGTACAGAAGCGCGGAAAGCACTCGACGGGACGGAGAGGAATTGCGAGACGTGCAGTGGGAGGAGTGTCTGCGGGGATTGGAGGGCGAGGCGGAAAGGGGCTGGGCGTGCGTGTGCGTGACTGACTGCGTAGGCGTGCAAAGAAGGAAGACGAAGGACTCGGGCGCGAGCCAGCTCAGAGCTTGGGGATCCTGCGAGCAGAACGAAAGGTGACGAGGTCAGTGGGCTAGTTTTTTCCACAAGACGCGACGCCGGAGAGTGCAGGCGGCCCGCTTGCTCCCCAGCGCCAGCTCGAGGATCGATTGAGGGACTAGCAGCGCACCTGAGTGTCTTGCTGATCATCGCCGCAGCCCATCCCGCAAAGATCACCGCCTCCCAGTGCACACTGACACCCAGCTTCTCCTTCGCCCAGCTGACAAGACCAAGGGGAAGTCCGTTGCCCTGTCCGAACACCCCCTCGAACTTGCCCCTCTTCACGCTCACAGCCATGAGCGCGACGAGAACGAGGGACGAGGGGATGGGGAGGCCCTCAAAGTACTTCGATTTGCCCGTCGTGTCTTTCGGGATAAGCGCGACTGTCGCGTTGAAGCGGGCGAGACGGGCGATGCCGGCGCAGATGAAGAGGGTGAGGAAGAGGGTGTCGAGGGGTGTACGGAGGCCGAGGGTGAAGGCGAGGAAGGCTGGCGCAACTCCGAACGAGATCTAGCGGATGACCGACGCAGAGGACACGTCAGGACCGGTCGTTGGCCGGATGGCAAGCACGCCCGAAGGAACGAGCCAGCAGAACGTACCGAGTCCGCGAGCGAATCCAACTCTTGTCCGAGCATGCTGCTCTCCCTCCTCCACCTCGCCACCTTGCCGTCAAGCGCGTCGAAGATGAACCCCGCAAGAGGGTAGGTCAAGGCGTGCCTGCAGGAGAACAAGGGAGATGGGTCGTGTGCACGGGTGTCAGTGTGACGCGGGGCTAAGCGGTACAACGATCGCAGACGCACCAGATGTAGGTCTGGTCGTGGCTGATAAGGTATTTGGCCGAGGAGAAGAGCGAGAGGGCGCCGCAGAATCCGTTTCCGAGCGTAACGATGTCGGCAAGGCGGAAGTTCCTGTGTCGATACAAGGGAATGGGGTCAGCATCACGCTCACACCAACATCCACTTGCGGTTGAGCAGGTATCGCAGGAAGCCCCAGGACACCTGGACTGGTACGCACCTGACGAGGCTGAAGTGCCTGTCGTCCTGCACAAACTCCCTCAGCTTGACCGCCTCGACGGCCTTCTCCTTCTGCGCCTTCTGACTCTTGGTGAGGTCTCCGTCCTTCATTGCCGCGAGCTTCTGCGCCTCTTCGAGTGTTGCGGATTCCCTCCTGTTCGCGAGCGCCTTTGCGACTGCGGCGGGCGGGGTGTCGATAGGCGCGGCAGCCTTGGAGGATGCCTGTGCGGGAGAGCCGGTGACTGGCGGGACTGTCAAGTCTGCTGCGGTGCCTGCGAGACAGACAGGCGGGGGAAGAGATGAGCATGAGCGATGACGGAGAGGGGAGGCCTCAATGGAGCACGGCAACGGGCAGAGTGCGCACCTGGCATTGTAGCGTGGAAACTGATCACTCTGCGTGTGACCCTGAGCAAGCGTCCGAGAGCGAGCGAGATGAGCGGAGTCCAACCCTCCTCCGTCACTCTCCAACATCTACCTCGTCGCCTGATCGACTCGCTCGTGCAGCTTGCTGGACAGCTGGACGCGCTCGCAGACTCCCAGCTACACTACATCTCCGGCTCCCAGGTCATGGCCTTTCCACACACGATCCCCCGCTCCCCCTTCGCCTTCGTCCTCCACCTGGTCGCGTTCGCCTCCATCTCCTGGTCCTTCAATGAGCTGTGGAAGCCGTCGCCGATGAGTGACTTCATGGACTCCAGCTACGGAGGGCACTGGCAGTACTTGACCATCCTCTCGTGCGTCTTCGTCTCTGACCGAATGGCCCGCTCTTGGTACTGAAGACGACTTGCCCGTCTGCCAGCCTCGCAATCGCCTGGCTCACGTTCCTCTTCTCGCTCCTCTACGACATCCTCCCTCTCTCGGTCTTCGCAAGGCTCAAGACGTCGGTCGCCGTCCTCGCCGTCCCGGTCGAGGGTCTCGTCGGCCTGCTGTACTGGACATTGACGGTCGTCAACCCGGCATTGCTCAACCCTTCGCTGGGCGAGGGGAAGGAGCCATTCCGCATCCCCTTCTGGCTTGACGTCAGCCTGCACGGACTCCCAGCGGTGCGCACTCCCTCTCTGCCAGTCTGCTTCGACGCCAAGCTGACGCGAGCCACTCCGACAGGTCTTCCTCTGGCTCGACTTCCTCCTCTTCTCTCCGCCGTTCCCCACCCGCGCTCGTCCTGCCCTCCTCTCGTCCCTCGCAGCAGCAGCCTACGTCTTCTGGCTCGAGCACGCCGCGGCCAAGAACGGGCGCTACGCGTACCCTATGCTCGGTGCGCTGCCCTTCCCTGTCTCTCACCTGCTCCGCATACTAACGCCGACGAGAATCAGACGAGTGGACGCCGGTCCAGCGCTCCGTCTTCTACGTCATGCAGATCCCAGTCCTCATTGCGCTGTACAAGCTGGCAAACGGAATTCACCGGCTTGTGAGGGGCGAACCGGACGTCCGCAACGAGGCCAAGCACGTCGAGCGTGCGGAGCGAAAGGTCGGCGCGAAGAAAGGTCAGTAGGGTTGGCGCTGTAGATTTAGACACTAGAATTTCCACGATCATGCAAGAATGTCCAGGACGGTGCTGTTTCTCTTCTCAGCCATCCCTCGAAGCGCTTGTGTCGAAAGCAGGCGTGCTTGCGCGTATTGCACCGCCAGCCTCGGCTACAGGTCAAACTCGTCCTGTTGCTCCGTCGCCTCCCAATCCTCGTCCTCGTCCTTATCTCCCTCATCCAGCTCTCCACCTCCATACTCATCAAGAACCCTCTCGAGCGCCTCCCTACACTCGCTCCAAATCGACCCGTCCTCGCCGTCCGCCTCGTACTCCTTCAACACAGGCGCGCGAACTCGTCGCAGCTCAGTAAGCGTCGAGAGAAGATGCTTGACGTAGGGCGTCGTCTGCGCCGGATCGGTCGAGAGAGTCGTCATGAGCGGTATACTCGTCGGTTGCTGGTTGAAGTCCATTGCGGACGGCCACTTCGGCGCGGTAGGGTCGTTGCCGAAGAGGACGGACGTGGAAGAAGAGGCGGAGGGTAGTTTCGGCAGAGGTGTTGGTGGGAGGACGAGCGGGAGGCCGGTCTGAGGGTGCAGACCGCGGAAGATCGGGGGTGTAGAGCCGGGAAGGAGAGGGTAGGGGTCCGGCAGTGAGACCCTGTGCGGCGAAAGCGTCTCGGATCAGTGGGAGAAAGAATGGAAGGAGATGACGAGAGGAGCATACCATCGGACGAGCGGTTCCCGCAGAGGCTTGACGTACTCCTCAAGGACCGGACCGAGAGCTTGCGATTCCTCAAAGTCGAGTCCGCGAAGGATGGAGTATCTCGCGTAGGGGATTTGGTCGGATCGGGACGAGGACGAAAGACCCTTGCTCGTCGTTCGCTGCGCGCGCCGGGAAGGATCGTCCACCTAAAGCGGCGCGAGCGAAGTGCAAAGCTTCACGAGTCAGCGTGAGCTGCAAAAGACGGAAGGACGAGCACGCACCTCCTCATCCCGCTCTTCCTCCTCCTCCTCCTCCCACGCACTCCACCCCTTCTCTAACCCCCTCACCGTCTCCCTCCACCGCTCCTCCCCCTCTCCCTCCTCCGTCCTTCTTCGGAGCCACGGGTCAGTCAAGAGCGGAGTCATCCCGGAGATGGACGCGATGCGGGTTGTGGTGCGGTAGTTGAGGAGGGTGGGAATTTCGGAAAGCGCGCCGGGCTCGCTGTATGGAGGTGGGAGTCAGCGCACGGAAGGCAGAGGACAAGGCACGTTGATCGGCGGCCGAAGAGAGAAGCGCGAGGAGGCGCGAGGAGCAAGGGAGAGGGTTGAAGCCGAGGCCGGCTGGGCGGAGCGGAAAATGTGGAGGAAAGGATACGGTGAAGGAGCAAAGAGGAAGGCGAAGGGGTAGAAGGAAGAGGGAAGAGGGGAGAGGGAAGAGGGAAGAGGGACGAGGGACGAGGGAAGAGGGAAGAGGGCAGAAGGAAGAGGGCAGAGGGAAGAGGGAAGAGGGCAAAGGGGAGAAAGAAGAAGGAAGAGGGAAGAGGGAAGAGGGAAG